TTTTTTTTTTTTTTTTTTTTTTTTTGATAACTTTCAAATGTATCTCCATGTGTTACCATTCTACCATAAATTTTGACGGTTCCCCGCATTTTTATCAGTTCCCTATCCCACATTTATTGTTGTACATATTTAAATTCCTTAAATTATGAAATATTTGAAAAAATGCTACTTTTTTTTTGGTCTAATACATTATCGGTCAACATCGATAATTTTTAATTCATATTGTACATTTTACGATTATTTCGATTTTTTACGATTAAAAATTTATGAGAAATTTTTTTATTTCACTAAACTAAAAATCAAAAAGCTACTACACCAAAAAAATTTCATAAGGTAAATTTTCAATTTTTCATTGATGATGTAGATACCATCGTATAATGTTAATATTGTTGTAAAAAATATTTTTACTAATTATTTTTACTAATTTTTTCTAACCAACATAAATTAAAATTTTTTTTTAAAGTAACGTCATATATGAGTGGCTAGGTAGGCTACATGTCCAAATTTTATTATTTTATTACATCATAATGATTTAATCGCTAATTTATCAAGCTACTCTGTTTATATATATAGAATTTAACACTTTTTTAAATTTTTTTTTTTTATTTTTTATCTTTAAATTTTTTCTGTTGTTCAAGATCTCCAATCTAACCATATTTTTTTTTTTTTATTATCACACTAATTTTAAAACAGTTTTGTCTTTCGATCTGTTTCTATTTATTTTTTATGTAAAAAAAAAACTGATAAATACCATCGATATTCTGGCTTTTTGACATTCCAAAAAAAAAATTTTCTTTGCCTTTTTCGCTACTTATTAACCGAACAAAAAAAATTATTTTTTTTTTCTTGTGCGTGCCTTTCTCAGCTTTAAAAGAAACTTTTTAGTGTATATAAATTATATAAGCGAACTTATTTTCCTTTCTGGTTATATATATTTTACGATTTTTCTTTAACACACCTCTCTTTCTCTTTCTCATATTTTTTTTTTACTCTTTATTTTATTTTATTATTTTTACTCTTCTTTTGTTCTTTTACTCTCTTCTCTTAAAAAAGAAAAGATATTTTATTATATAACCATACCTTTCTTTCGTCATGGAATCTTGGAACGTTTACCCTCAAAATGCTCCTAGTACACCAAATTCTACTTGGTTATGTCCACAAAATAATACACCTGGTGCAGAATGGTTACATTCTCAAAATAATTCTAATGAGCGAGAACGTAATGAAAGTAAGTTTCATTTCATCTTTTCCTTTCCCCTACATAAAAAAAAAAAAAAAAAAAATTAATTTTTATTTATCAATTGATTTAGATACGGCAGCACTTGCTACTCCAACACGTTACATTATGGAGTATAATGATGTAAATCAAAATACTTCATCGGGATCTTTTTACAATCCTTACGAAATGGAAAGATTATTTGAAAATAACTTTTTAAAAATTGGAAATCCTGAGGATTTGTTAAATAATGATATTTATAATAATGAAAATTTATCATGGTTGAATTCTAATGAAAATATAATCCCTGCCACTTCTTCAAATATTATAACTACATCTGCACCTTCCTCTACTGTAAATGTTACAAATTCACCTACTCCAAGTCTTATCACTGATGATGATCAAGATCAGTTGTACAATAATAATAACTTACATCAGGAAGAACAAAGAATTCAAAATCCGGTATCTACTACTGCTTCATTTATTCAATATACGACGAATACATCTCCTACAAAATCTAAATCTTCATCTATTTCACCTCGAGTTGTGAAAGAAAATCATTATCCAATCACTACTACTACTTCTGCTACATTCTATCAACCTAACTTACAACAACAAGATCACTATTTACAATCAAAGAAACATGATCCTAAACAATTACTTTTACCTTTAACGACTAGTACGAATTCAATTGATGGTACAATGGCAGTTTCTATGTCTTCTCCTACTTCAAGTTTATTCACAGATGATGATTTGGATCAATGTGATCAAACAAAGATGAAAGGTCGTCGTCAAAGTTATTATCAAGATTTTCCATTGAGTGTTTCAACTAACGATTTACCGATGCAACAACCTTCTCCGGCGTCTTCAGAATTTTCAAGTGGAGAAAAAACTCCTCCACTTAATAATGAAACGATTTCACAAAAGAAACGTCGAGGTTCACAAAGAAAATTAAATAATAGAAGAAATTCTAAAGTTGAAGGATCATTAATTTCTCCAATCGATGAACCATATTCAGAGTCAAATGGAAAAATTTCAGCCAGTATTTCTGATGATGTTTCCGATATAGATATGGAAGAACCTACCACGAGTAAAGATACATCTATCGATTCAAGTATTTCAGATTCAAATAATAAAAGAGATAGTCCAGATGATGGACACGATGAAACACCTGAAGAAAAACGTGCAAGATTGTTAGAAAGAAATCGAATTGCAGGTGATTATTTTTCGCGTTTTTTTTTTTTGTGGTAACAAACAATATTAAGTGGGTATAGTTTATTAACTTTGTCCTCATTTTTTTTTTTTTTTAGCCGCTAAATGTCGACAAAAGAAAAAACAAGCTCAAGAGAGTCTTCAACAACAAGCGTCAGATTTGACACAAAAGAACACAACAATGCATTCACTCGTAAATGATCTTAGAGAAGAGGCTTTAAAATTGAAAAATCAACTTCTTGCCCATAGCACTTGTAATTGTAATGTCATTCAAGAATACGTACGAACAAGTGGGCAATTCGCATTTGCACGACCTCCATATACAAAGTAAAAAAATTCCGATCACATCATATGTATGATATTTGTAAAACTACAGAGAAAAAAAAAGGAAAAAAAAAAAAAAAAAAAAAAAAAAAAAAA